TAAGCCCCATCTCGATTACATTTTCTATAGGCCTATTTTGTTTTTTGCTTTTCCTGCAGCACTATTCATTGGTATTCGCGGCGGAGTTTTTTGTGCATTCCGCGTACTCTTTTGGCCAATGCAAATTGGGAATTATTTGTTCTTGTGCTCGGCTCGAAAATATTTCCGCTCTTTGAATTTCAATGCGTGCAGCAGCAGCCACACAGCCCCCACACACACACACACACACACACAAACAGGTAGGAGTACACAGCTCGCTGTATTTTCCATTTTGGTTTTTGTTGTTTCCCCACTGCTGCTGCTGTTGCTGCTAAAAAGGATGCAGGATTTTTCTATGGCCCAATGCAGTTACCTACGTGACACAATTAAAAAAAAATAAATAGAAAATAAAACTTCACTTTGTCCATACCCTTTGCTGTGAGGAGAGAGGCGAATATGATTATTGGAATGGCGTTTGCCAACGCACCGAACGCACAGAACGCACAGAGTATATGCTGTATCACATTCCACATATGTATGTACATAGACATAAATAGATTATAATTATATATGGAGGTATTAAAATCGGTCATAATCTATGCACAAGCGAATGGAGCTGCAAGGGTATCTAATGCTTCGTCTATCGCTTCCTGTCAAAATCCTCTCTTGTTTTGTATGGAAAGCGAAATTTAATAAAAAAATAAATAAAAGCTCTTATGACGACAGGTTGCATGATGTTGCATGACTGACCAGAAAAGTCCTTTGATTAAAGTTGTTGTTGTTGGTTGGAAAAGAGTGGTTTACCCCCTTTTGAAAACTGCTCTAATTAGGAAATGGGATGTCCGAATAACAGAAGTTAGATTGAAGTTGCAAAAACATATAAGGAAATATTTAAATTTAAATTATGCAAACTGTATTTAAATGTTTTATATATATTTTTGTTGTGAATACATATACTGACCAATATAATTCTATGGTTAAAAAAAAACCAGTAAGCTGCCAGTTCTCATTTATATTTTGTGCAAAAATTTTACAAAAATCCTATTAAATTATTAGTCACAAGGCGGTAGCTGGTAAGTGGAATTTCCTGCTCTCGAAACGTATCGAATCATTTCAGTTAGCAGATTCCGATGCTCATTAACGCATTTGCACACACAAGTAGGTACTAGTGTCAAGTGGCATTTGTCACTGGGATAAACAGATATTCGTTATTCGTACACCTCTGCTGACTGCTGACTGCTGACTGACTGACAAATTACTTGTGCCTTAAAATAATGTAAATTTATTCCAACGAAACAACAGTAACAGTCAACAGTCAGCACTGTCAACGGAAATATCTTTTATTGTAATTGATAATCACGTTAATGTGCTACTCAATTTATTAAAGCTTTCCCCCCCCAGTTGCAACAGTGACTCAGCAGCATTTTGTGTTAATTAATAACAGCACATTTAATCTGTTTCAAGTCTCGGATCTGCCACTCTTTTCCTGTTTCTGATTATCGCATATGGAGCTGACATTTATACGATCAAAATTCTGTATCTCTCTCTTTCTCTCCCTCTCTCGCTCTCTGTCGTCGCTTAGTGCATTCAACTGGCGCTCCAAGAACTGTCATATAAGCCCTATTTAAGAGGCATACATTTATTGGTACGCCGGCTCACTGTATTGTTTTTTTGAGTGCTGCCCATAAAACCGATCGAATTGGAAGTTCTGGCGGACGGACGAGCTGGGCCGAGACGGGCCTCTCCCCCTACCAGGAAGCCATAAAACAATCAACGAAAATTCGTTCGAATGCCCCCAGCCCATCAGCGGCATCAACTGCATTAATTGCATTCCCAAAGAGGAGGCGGACGAGGGATGTTTTTGAGGAACTGCCTTCCTCTCTGACAGTTTTGTAGGCTCCTCACAATGGATCCATTATATATGAGTAATGCGGTGAATGTTTATGAATAATTTTAATACTGTTTATGGCTTTCCTTTTGGGGAACGGGAATGGAATGGATCGGCACTCCTCTCAGAGAGGTGTCTCTGACACAGTTGACAATTTTGGTATAATTGTTTCATACAGTCACAGAACTTTTTGATACTGTTCTGGTACTGATTTCCGTATAAATCTTAATAAATATAAAAATATCAAAATTTGAAAATAAATTTTTTCTCTTTCTCAAAGATTACATTCCACAGAATTTATGAGAATTGATAAGAATGGAAATATACTGTGGAAAATATGTAAGCAGGAATACATATTTGAAAGATTAAAACCCACCGAAAAAGTATTTTAAATTAAATACTTACTTTTCCAATGAAATCCCTAAAGAGTTCCATATGGAAACATTAAAAATTCTATGGCAGAAGAATAGAATCCACCTGTTTCCCCGATTCATTCCATCATTCCTCTATATAGACACATGCATATGATGGATATGTACATACATATGCATTTATTTATGTACATCCTCCCCCGCATACAGCAATCACCAATCATTTAAGTACAAATAAAAGTTGGACAGTCCACAAAATTCTGTTGATGACAAGACGACTTCCTTCTGGAGTTCCTGCTCCATTTCCATGAGTTTTGCCAATTAGAATTTTGCGAGAACTTGAAAGTAAATTTGCAACAGTTTGTTAGGGCTCTCCGCTGTCCCTCTCCCACTCCCTTTCTGTAGATCCACTCTGTGTCTCCAGAGTGAGAGTGTCTCAGTGTCAGTGGGAGCAAGAATATATTGTACGTACATATGTACATACAAATGTATGTATATATAGAACTGAAGTGCGTGTGGATATGCAAATGTGTGTTTTGTGGTCTGCTCGTGTGGGCAGAGAGCGAGAGAGCGAGAGAGAAAGATAAAGTTAACTTCACTTTCTAGTACAGTATTTTCCGCACAACTTCCGCTGGGGTATGCCGTGACCCTGCTGCACCCGCAACGTCTTACTTCCCCCCACCAACACGTCTTTTGCCACCCGTTTTCATCATTTCATTTGATTACACGCCATTCATAAGCGCGACAGCGACTGAGACTGAGACTGCCAGTGCGTGAGTGTATGCGAACAATTCGTTGGCAGTCTGTGTGTGTGTGTGTATGAGTGCGTTTATTGAACCGAGCGGGAGGCTATGGCGCATACGGCAGCGCCTAGCTGGCGACACATAGCCGCCAGACGAAGACGTCGACGACGACGACGACGACAGCAGCAGCAGCAGCAGCAGCATCGTGGCAGCAGCTTTAGCTCTGTTCTCAGTTCTTTCTCAGTTTTGTTTCACTCTCTGTTTTGCGCTCTCTCTACTTACTACTGCTACACTCCCTACAAATGCTCCATATATGTCCCTGTATACATATATGTATGTACATATGTACACTTTATATGGCACATATGTTTGCACATCCCACCACTCAAGCGGCGGCTGGGACATCCATCCATTGCCTTCGATATCCTTACTAAATAAACAATATGCGGGCACCTCGGAGGTCGACCGCCGACGCTCCCTATACCATTTCTTCCGCTTTCTCTGCTTATTTTTATTCTTTCATATTTTGTTGAGGAAGAGACCCTTCCTTCCCTCCTTCCTCCCTTCCTTCCAATTACCATTTTCGCACTTTAATAAATGCCAACTTTCGAGCCGACCGCCTCGCATACATAAACAGTAGTGCCATCCTGTCCGCCCAGGCCTCTGTCTGGTGGTGCCCCTGCTGACTCATCGGCGAGAAGTTCAACGTCCTGGCGCGCCTTTAAGAACTTGCCACGGCGACTCCTTGGCACACACACACACACACAGGGACGAACAGGCGAAAGAAAGGAAGGAAAATCCAAGAATAAATTGCTCATATTTTGTTATTTTGATTAAAAAGGCGCCCGCGCTCATTAACTCTATCCACACAAGACCGAGCCACAAGCAAATGTCCTATCGTGGAGCCACATTCTCGAGCACACAAATGCATCGAGTGCCACTGAGGATGCAGGCCCCGCCGAAACAATAAGCGTGCATTGTGCATATGGGGGCTCCACACACACTCGCCACCCAGACTGGGGAACGAACGGAACGGCGGTTGGATAGGGGGGGTCTGGCCCTCATTTCTTGTACCAAATGAATGCACACACAGTGAACAGTGCGTTACAGTGGTGTAATACCACTTCGAAACATGTACGTAGTTTTTCATGAGTGAACTGATACGAAAAAAATAATTTTTTAATAATAAATTTGGTATTGTTTACGATTAAGTACAGAAACATATCCAAATCATTTTCGGCCAACATTTTGAGGCGTCTTACAATTTCGATACGCACTGTACGTGGCATGTATAGACCATTTTGGGATTTTGGGGTCAGGCCTATGAGAGGCCGCTGCAGCAGAAGCAGTCTCGATGGGGGCACGGCGTCCGCTGCCTTTGGAATCGCCTTATCTTGATGGTTGCCCCGTTTCCCCGCCCCGACGCTCTGCCTGGAATATGCATATATTCCGTATACGGACATGAGGGAGAGCGCGGAATGAATGAATGACTGCCACTGCAACTGCCACCGCCACTGCAACTGCAACTGAAGCAGCAACTGAAACTGCAGCAGCAATGAGCATTGCATTGGCCTGTTTGCTGCATGTTGATTATATTTTCAGCTGTTGTGTGGACTGACCTCCGGCTGACTGGCTGCATGCATTTCTTTCTGTCTCTCTCTCCCTCTTTCTCTATTTACCATATAAATATATTTCTCTCTTATGTTGGGAATTTAATTTTGGTTTCTCTTCCACGCAGATCCATAATGGTTAATTATTTATGTCACTGCACTGCGGCGATTGCAGCAGTTCGTTTTTATTAACTTTTCCACATTCTGAATAAATATTTTGAATATTTTTGCATAGATTCGGAATTGTGTGAAATGTTGCTACAGCCATTCATTCACCAACTGATTGGTTCCATTTAAACTTCATTGAAAGTGGTATTTATCTAAGATATTCCATCCCAAAGAGCACATTTTATGGAGAGTGGAATCAGTTCTTTCCATACATGGAATACAATCCACAACCCACACTCACCATAAGATCCTCAGAGATGACGCTCTTCGGCTTGCCGGCCCGCCCACTCTGCACGTCGTTTTGCTCCTCTTCTGCATGCTTTTGGTGCTCGGGGGGCAGATCCTGAATGGCGGTGCATGTCTGTGCAACCAGTAGAGCCAGCAGCAGCAGGCTGCCGACACATGTGGAACACATTTCTTTTTCGTTTTTGTTTTTAGCTCTTTTATTTGTTGGGACCAAAAAAAAAACCGTTCACTTTACTTCACTAAATAGGAGTTTACTCCCTTTTTCGGACTGGAATTAATTTCGGTGTTGGACTAACGATTCGTAATTGTAAATTGAACTTCTTTCACTTTTTTGTTTGTTAATTTTCGTTTGGACGCGGCCGCGAGGGTTGACACACGCGCAGTGGCACCAGCGCCAGTGGCAAAAACAGCTGCAGAAGCAACGGAAGCAAGAACTAAGCGCAGTGGCCAGTGGTGGTGGTCGGGGGTTATAGTTTGCTTTGTTTTGTTTCGTGTTTCTTCTTCTTTCGGGTTTGTTGTGGCCAAGTTCTTCGTCTGTGAACCGCGACTGCTTTCCAGCTGTTCTTTCCTTTTGTTCCTGGAGCGCGCTCTTTGTCCAGCTCGTCTTCCCGTTATTCCTTCAGCTTTCTCTCTCTGCTTAACTCCTGCTCCTCTTTTACATATGAATGACGCACACAATGTGTGCCTTGGAAGGGGCAAAAGTGGAAGGAGAACCAGGGCTAGTGGCCGCTGTGTTGGGAGTGTTCCTGGTGTGGCGTGGTGGGGGAGCCTTGTATGTATGTATGTGTTGGAATAATGGATTAAATTTAAACTTTGCAAGACACACGAGACGACGCACTATTAAATACACATTAGCTTATGTTATTCCATTTCCATTACTGCTTTCTGTTGCAACAACAAGAACACAATTCAATTGGCACGCGACGTACTATTTACAAAGAGGAGGGAGGGAGCCTTTGTTGTTCGGAGCACCGTCCCGATCCCGATGCGGATTCCAGTGCCGATCCGAAACCCACTCGCTCTCACACACGCACACGACACGCACACGCACACACACACACACACGTTGACGGATGGCTTTTGTTTGCCTCACAAAAGAAGAGAAGTAGGCGGCGACACACTCACTGCAGCAAGAACAACGAAAACATACGCCTCTCTTCCGATGCGTCTTTATTCGTATTACGGTGTGGCGTTTATTATTCCTGCCTATAATTCCTGTGTATGTATCAAAATCGCGTTTGAATTATTTATTTCGCGTTACAGTGCGGCGGGTACCGCTCCGCGCAAACCGTCTGGAAAGAGTGACTCTTGACTGGAAACGACGCTGCTGGTTGGCCTGCCTGGTCAATTAAACGAGCGGAGAGCCAGAGTCGGAAAGAGAGAGAGCGTCGGAGATCAGAGACCAGAGAGCATGTTGTAATGCGCTGATTAACTAAGGATAAGACGCGTCTTTTGGTGCAATTGTTGTAACTCTCTTCCTCTCTCTGGGAGATTGCTGTGCAGCCGAAGTGATAAAGAGGCAGTGGTTTGGAGAGAGATGTGAGAGATCGATGTGGGTGACACGAAGGTGTATTTATACCAGGTGAGGAATTCCCGTTCTCGCTCTGTGTGTGATCTGCACCGAAGTCGAATAGGAGAACATCTCGAGGAGATCCACACCTTATTTCAATACGCCTTGGGTGATACCGTGTGGTTGTTTGTGAATTGGGAAACCTACTTGGAAGTCCGTAGTGGTGCGAGTCTTAACACGTTTATGCTAAGACCTGGCGCCACTTGTGTGTTGCACAATGGAACGGAGCTCGGATCACGAAGCAGATGATGGCCAATTTTGATCAGCCTGCCTGCTGCTGCGGGTTAACAACAATAATAATAATGATAATGATTGATTTGACAGTTCTTTGAATGCCCGAATGAGTTAATGACCAAAACGAAGTGTGGAAGCGAAAACCAGTTGTCTCGCTCTCTCTCGCACCACAAGGCGTAGGTAACCGTTATGTTTATTTGCCAAAAATCGTATACACTGAGCAAAACTCTACATTTTAACTCTCAAGATATCAAATTTGTCATCTCGAAAATATTATTTAGGCTTCTCTATAAAATTCAATGGGTGGTCAAAACGAATGCCAAGTATCAAATTAGCATGAAAATAAATTATATACGATTTTTTTCAAGTGTATCGTGCATCAGTTGGATTTATGAATGAAATGGCAAACCTGTTAATTGGCGACTCATCATCGAATACGTAGTTCGTACCACTTACTCATTTGGTTTTTGAACTTAAATAAATATCACAATCGTCTGGGGAAAACCCAATAAACCATTCATAAATATTCAATCAATATAGCCTCCGTAAATTTCTGCATATGCATATGTATATATGTATTTCTATATCTTTCAAATTTGAGGATCATGTTCAATGTCCATTTAAATTCAATTTATTGCCACTTAATCATAGCCAATCTACAAGAGATACACGTAGATCTACAAGTACGGCAATGTATTGATGACTCGATCATAAATGTATGTATAACCCCATTTGTGTACAGTGCGTATCATAAATTAAACATATCTGAACGCAATTCTAGGGAACCTTAAGAACATTTTTTTAGTCCGATAAATTAAATAATAAACCATAGAACAAAAAATGTCTTCGAATCACTTCTGTACTTTGGCTATAATTAACCATCTTAAGATCTTTTCAGCAGAAATATGCCTCTGAAACGGACTGTCTCCACACATAAGTATCCAAAACTGTTTGCCGGCCATTTGGGTACTTCTGTAGATGGGAGGTCTCGGGTTCAAGCGCTAATTGAACACGAAATTGAATGCAAAACCGATTTCACATACGTATGAACGTTCGCGTATACATACATAGCTCCCTCTGCAGTTGACCCACAAAATGAGAACCAAAATAAATAAATGACACATGGTCGAGCCCTGGGAAATACTCGTACCTTCCTACGTAACCATGCCCAATGCGGGTATGTACTACTTTGTTATCACTAACTTATCAGATCAGTCACCTCCCAATTTGTTACTCAATGGACGGTTGGTGGTTACGCCACATCTGCTGGAAATAAATAGTCCCGATTCCTCAGAACTCTCAGAGCAGAACTGCTGTTCTTTGGTTGCCAGGGTCAGTATCGTGTATCGTACTGGCTATCGGCTATCGTACCGTACCATTTCCTGCCTTGCCTTGGGAAGTGAAATGCAGATATGGAATAGGAGCCGCAGCATATTAAGTGGAAGGTTAGTAACTTTCGGAGTCAATGACTCAGTGGGGCAGTATCTTGTTTATTGCATTTCTCCACAAGTGCACACAAAAACAGATAAGTATATATATACCCCTATCTTTCAGTTGCAATATATGTATGTACATACATACACAGTTACATATGTAAGAACAGGCCGGCCTCGCCAATCCCGAACCAGGCCTCGATTCTTCAGTTCGTGACATATATCAATTATGGCAAAGTGTCGTATGGTAATGCCCCCGGGGCACATGCATCTTCTGTCGCCTGTCTGCCTGCCTGCCTGCCTGCCTGACTTTCTGCGTGGGTGGGTGGGCACGGACGTCTGACCGATATGGCGAAACGTTGTGTGTTTTTTCAATATGTGCAAGTAGTTCCTGTGGATAGCAAATTGTGTTTATGACTCAATTGAAACGTATGCTCGGCCGATCTTAAATGGAAGTGGTACATGCACAAACTCCCGCCGAATGGGGTTGTACACGGCGATTAACATACTACCATTTTCCAAAGTGCGCAAAAGCGAACACGTTCCCCCGGCTACAGAGACAACACAGGCAGGAAATCAAAGCAATTACTAATGCTGTTGTACAAAACGCAGAGACTTTCTCGCATGACGCACACGTTCCCCACGTTTTTATGGCCAAAAATTCATCATGTAAGCCACTATGTGTGTTTGTATTTATGTTTGCTGCCTTATGGAGGGCATAGAGTGCCTTAGACAGGAAATGCCAAAACAATTGACCTTCCTTTTCATTCAAAGTGATCCCTAAAGTGCACAGTGGGAGGCAGCACTGTCTGGAGAGCCTAATTTTGTGCCCATGCGATTTGTTCCACTGTGCCCGATGTGCGCCGCATCCGAGTATCCGAGTAATTAATTAAAATATGCATTTAATGCACTCTGTCACAACAATTGCAGTTGCAGCTTCGATGCGTCGTGCATTGCTCTCGCCTTGCCTTGCCTTGCCTTGCCCGTGTGTCCATGTCCATGTCCATGTCAGAGTCAGAGTCAGAGAGAGAGAGAGAGAGTGGAGAGGCTTTCCTTGGCTGTTTCTGATTTCCATTCAACATGTTAATTAATCAAATTCGGCTCGTTATCGCACGGAAAGTGTCTCACGGCCGAGTGACAATTTATTGAATGCAATCCATTCAAAGTAAATGCAAAAGGAAAACACATCATTAATTTAAAGCAATTTAATATTAAAATTAAAATTTCATTTCCATTTCCGTTTTGCATGAGAAATTGCCAGAAATTTCTGTATGGCAGCATATTTTGGATATTAGCCAAACAGGTTGCCCACAAACAAAAGACTGCCAATACCCCACCGTTTTTTGGTCGAACATGCAATGCCCTTCTTTTGGATACAACAGATTTGATTGGGAATCCCACCCAAGCTCCAATTCCCTTCCTTCGATGAGCACTCAAGAGCACTCTCCCATCTCGAAATTCGATTTGGAAATTTATAGCTGATCTGCTTAAAGCGAGCATTAAAAACAAACACACACACATTTCGCGATCTTTCTGAGACACCTGAGAGACGGAGAGCAAAGCGGCTCTATGGCTGGGTGCTTTCCCACGGCGGTTCCCCCATTCCCCATGAGTCAACAGCCTTTGGGTTAGTGGCTGGCTGATCATCAACCAAAGCGCTGACGCACATACGAAAATCAGAATCAGAATTTTTACCCAAGTTCTGCTGGTTGTAGTGGTTCATCACAATACGCATAATAATACACAATACTGCCAATATGTACAACAAAGAACCTTATTCTGCATATATGGATGTGAATCATGAAAATACGTATTATCTCTGGTGCACAAAGTGGGTATTACGTTTATGAAATTTCCATAAAACAATACTAGTGCAGCTTATCCTGAAATTCCCCAAGAAAGGATGGAGTCAGAGGCTTCTTTGGGAGTTCGTGTGGGATTCTTCAGAGTCTAAAATTGTATATCCTTTGATTGTTTTTTCTTAGAGGTTTTCTTAAGAGAGCTGTAAGATATTGTAGCATTTGCGATTGTTCCTTGAGCAGCAATATAGGTAGCTATTCTGCCAACCATTCTATGCAGATTTCCTGCTTTATAGGTCATATGACATCTAATGTTTTAAGCCTCGGGTCTCACCAGTCACTCTATCGAGTATTTGATACAGATTAGCAGTATTCTCTTTAAAGCTGCTCTAACCACTAATAATCCTATAGTTTGAAAGTTGTAGGCAGAAGCTTACGTTCATAAGGGTTAAATGTAACTTCATTTCACTTAAGTTTTCATTATCAAATTTTAGTTTCCAGCCAAAGGTTGAGCCCAAAACTTTGATTATGCTGTCCGGAACAGACTCTATTGCATACATACATATGTATGTATATGCAACGGCCAACAGCCAACAGGGAGATCCTGAAAAGTCTTGGCAGTTCGGCCACGTCCCACGTCCCACGTTCCTGCGCACGCATTTTGCCTGTTTGTTTCATTAAGTGCATAATTTGAGCAACTTTTGCCCCAAAAGCCGCAGCAGCAGCAGCAGCAGCAAAAGAAGAATGAGGGGAATGCGTAGGGACGGAGGCATAACTTTGACTATACTTCAGCTGCATTGCGTGTAATATTTAATTATAAGAAGCCACCCAGCGCCATCCATCCAAGCAGCAGCGGCAGCATCCAGGAGCCGTCGTCCTGCCAGTTGCAGCGCAACTTTACGGCACTTGCCAATTGCACTTTAGTGGCAGCCTCCTCCATAAACGTCTTCAGAGAGAGAGAGAGGAGTGAAAGAGGGCATAAAATATTTAATTGTGTCACGTAACTTTCTGCAAAACTGATGGCAGGGGTGGGTGGATAGGATAGGATAGGATATATAGTATGCATTACAATTGCGAAGTTGTGGAAGGCAGGGGGTTATGGCATGGGAAATGAGATTACAAATGTCAAGTGTTGCACAAAGTGAATTCCCCATGGAATCGGCATCGCTTCGTCTCCATGTACCATATGAAATATACAGTTTTATTCATTTTACTTTTCTCCTCTTTTTAATACAATGCTGTAATTAGTTGTTATGTTCATATACAAAAA